TCGCGGAAAGCATCGTAATCCATGTGAGTGGGACTAGGGCCGAGACCAACACGGCCAACTTCTCGATCCACTGGAGGGCCCAGTATGGAAGTGCGTTCAACTCTCTTCCTTTGTTGTCGCTTCTTCTCTTCATCCAGAAGTCTCTGCCGCTGCTGGTGCTCATAAAGAACCTCGTAGAATCGGTCATAAATCACGCCCAAATCATCCATGCTGAGCTTCTTGCTGTCAGGTCCCAAGTTCCGAATAGACGTGCGTTTGGCGAAACTCTCGATATTCTCCAAAACGGCGTCCTTGTGCTTCTCACGCTCCTCCGTAATCGTCTGGTGGGTGATTCCTGAAAACTCCTTGAAAGCGACAACCATCAGTTCCTGGAACCGGGTAATGGCTCGCAATTTGGGGTTCTCGGATCTAGGGTGGGCCGATTCGTCCAGACGAGAGAAGTATGACTTGAGGACAGATATGAAAGACCCATCGTCCTGTATGTCCAGAAGCTCCTCGCCATTGATACGAAGGATGGCTAACCCAACTTGAAAGAGGACCTTCGGTCCTTCCAGGAAAAATACATCCAACACCCGAAAGGCAAAAACTAAAGGCATGGAGTTGATATAGAGAGAAAGGAACCATGGGAGTGACACAACAGAAAGTTGGACATCGGATTTGGTGAGATGCTCCCAAAGGATCGGCATGGTCTTCTCGACAAGGGACTCAAACACCTTCTGATCGAGTAATGTCCCATACATGGTCGTTGAGTAGTAACCTGGCAATAGACGGTCGCACAAAACGGACAGGAGGAAAAAGGCTTGCGCCTCGGACATATAACTAATGGAGTTAGCGATGACTTAAGTTGATGATGACGAGGTGGTATACATTAAAAGGGCTGCGACGACGATATTCATAGCCTGACAGTACCCAATCTCCGCGTTGGTCCAACTGTAGGCTGTCAAAACTCTACGAAGTCGTCCGATGCCTTCTTCGCTTTGAAACCCAGCATATTCAGGCAAACTCCGGTTCAGATCTTTTTCAATCTCATCGATGGCCAAGGATTCTCTCCCGGAGAATTTCGAAAGTGTCTGGGTATATAGGTCTGGAGACCTGAGGCGGAGGTACAGAGATCCGGACGACAACTCCCAAATTTCACCACGGAGACGGTTCGGAAGCCCAACCCGGATCAGCTTATGGAAGGTGGGTTGCCGAAGAAGAGTTGCGTTGCGGCCATTTTCTACAGGAGGTTTTAATATACGATCTGCATGGGGGCGAAGCCGAGCCTAGGATATCATACCTCTGAAATATTCCCCCCATAATCTCATTTTACTTCTGTCCCGGAGCTTGCGCGCATCTCCGGGATAGCGAAAGATCATCCCTAGGCCGGCATCTGGCGGCTGGCGTACCTCTGCATTATCACCGTCCTGGGCCTTGGACTTGGCACCAGACAGCAAATACTCCGAGTAACAATCATTTACGACTACCCGCAAATTCTCGATTTCTTTCATGCTTTCCCGCAATCCCTTCTTCAGCCCATCGCAGAATCGTTCACAGGCCTGCCTGCTCCCGACCAGCTGAATCGTAAATCGTTGGGGGATAAAGTTGGGGCTCTGTTGCTTCCCCAGCGCACCGTTCCACGTCGTGAGTGCGAGCGAAAACACATGGCTCAGGCTATTCAAGCGTTCCACTCGCCGGATGCAACAAAGGGGGAGGGTAAAACCATTACCGAACGGACCCGTTCCATTCGTTTGACCGGCCCAATGGGTTGAAGCGCTGTGGGTTGCAGAAGGCACAAAGCTGGTAGGTTGAGTAGTAAAGCAGATAAACCGTTCGCTCAAATGAAGCCGGCCGGCATAGCGATTCCCGGCACGCTCAAGATTGTGAGGTTGATCTCCGGAGGATGTGGAAGAGGAGGTGTGTGGGACAGGAAGGATCAGTTCGGCAGTTATCTCTTGTAGGGGATTTTGAGAATCCGGAAGTCGAAACTGCTGGCGAAACAGCGAAGCTTTCGAAGGGTTGCGATCGGTCGAAGTGAGCGTGGGGAGAGTGAAGTTGGCCGGGTCGATCAATGACTGGGCTTTTTGAACGAAAGACGACGTCCACTGCATCATGGTGCCGGATCTGACTCACAGAACCTCCCGACACCGAGTAATCCGAGACGTCTCTCAGCTGCCTGAGCGGAGGAGGTTGTAAGGCTGAAGCTAAGGCCGGGCGGAAAGCGGCAGATGGGTGCAGCTCACGACGGCGATCAAGCTCGGGGCAGTCAGTAGTTATATAAGCACGCCCTTCGATGGAAGTGTGAGAAATGGTAGGTCAATGCTCATCGTAAAGACAGGCGCAACATCCTTCCAAGGGGCTTACGCGCCGCAGTAAACTTGGAGCCGAAGATGTTTAGACTGATTGCTAGAAGCGGAAGAGGGGAATCATGGAACCTTACGCCCGGCGGCCTTCCTGTCAAGGCATCCACCGCTGACCACGTGATGCCCTGCAGGTGAAACAGCCAAGAGCGGCCGGCGTCACGTTCTATTGAGCTGGCGTCATTAATTCTCTTGTACATACAGTACTGCAGTGGTTATGTTCCCTAGCAATACATGGGTGTGGTCATTGCACCAGTCGGGGACTAATACAATTTCGATTCCTAAACTCATAAAAAACCGAACTACACAACAGCCCTCAGGAATTGTTCAAATGCGCAGGCGACGCATGTTCCCGAGAGGGCAGAGTATACAAAATAGTAATAACAAAAGGACGGATGAAGGAGATAGTAGACCAAGTAGAAAAAAAAAGGTGATGGTAAATGAAAGAAAGTAGGCTTGAAGTCAATCTTCCCTAAAAGTCGCTGCCAACCAATAACAAATGCCTAGATCCTATTCCTGTTTTGGCAGAGCTGAGATAGCTTCCCGCCGACCCTTTGTCCTTCCCAGAAGAAACATTCTGTCTATCTCAACGCCTGGAAAAGTAAAAATAGTTCAGTTCTTGTGGTCCGCTGCTGCCTCGGCTGGGCCCTCCTCGTCACTGTAGGCAGGGGGAAGGTCATCGGTAGCCTCGGTCATCAAGCCCTGCTTCTCAGAAGTAGTACCTTGCTCAAGAGACTCCTCACGGTCAGAACGGCGATAGCGCTGCCACAAGAACACTACCACCTGGCCAACCAACATACCCACAGCACTGGCAGCCAATCCTGCCAGAACGCCCAGCGCAGCCGGGATGACAATGAAGCGGACAACGCGAGAGGCAGTGCGCTCCCAGTTACCGTGAGGGCCATGGTGCATATGGTGGTGGTGAGGGTGACCGGGACGTCCCATGTGGCCTTCCGCCTGGGGCGGGAATGGCATACCACCATGGTGGGGGTGAGAAGGACGAGGACGGCCGCAGTGCGGCTTGGGACCCATAACTCCGAGCATACGGGCTTTGGCAGCAGCAAACAGCGCACGAATGCGGTTGAGCAAAAGTCTCTTCAGGCACATTGGCTTTCCGCGGCACTGTCTCCAAGAAACACGGTTGGGGGTGTTGTCCTCGATATCGGTCTTGACCATGTAAAGGTTACCCTCGGGGTCGTGGAGGAGGCTGATTGCTACGGTGTTCAGGGGTACCGGGTGGCTGTCCAAGTCGAGGACAGTGAAGCGAACAGCGACCAAATCGACAGGTTCCTCTGGCGGAGAAGGCAGTGGCAACATCTCGACGGCATATCCCAGCGGGATAGGTTCCGACTCCTCATCATCCGATAGACGGCGCTGGACCGCGGTGATGACGGTTGGAGGAGGGGGTGGGAAGATCTGACGGCCGTTGGCCAGTAAGGAACCATCCTCAATCGAGAAGTTCAGCGACTGTAGTGAATCATTAGTGATTCTGTATGAGTTTGGTCGAGACTATCAAGTCCTATACTACGATGGGCGGGGGGGGGATCCACTTACCAAAGCGGTTTGGAAACCGTCAGTCCAGCTGACCTTGCCATTTTCGGTGACTTCTCTGAAAGGGCACTCAGTGCAAAGGAGATCGACATTCTGCTGCTGGGAAGCGTGAGATTCCAGAGGATGAAGACCGGCAAATTCGGGTTCAAAGGCGATGGCCTCTCCTTCGACTTCCGGAACGACTAGGAAAGCGTTGGCGCCTAGAACGGCGGCGCTCCCGAGAAGGAACGAGCGGAGATGCATGATGTTGGTGGAAGGAGTTAGAAGATGGACATGAGAGTTGGACAGAGATTAAGTATGATCAGTTGAATATGATCCGAAGCTGACTGAAGACAAAGGAGATGACGATGAATGATGATATGGGGGGGAAAAGAGAGAAAGAAAGAAGTCCAGAGAGAGGCTAGAGGGAATGGAAATGGGGGAATAAAGGAAATGTGTATGCCTGAAGATTAAGGACAGGGCGGCTATGGATTCCTCTGGTTCGCTGAATGAATGCCTGGTGGCGGAGTACGTGACGCAACACTATGTTCCAGGCTTTACTTCATAGGGTTTAGCGTCCTCTCCTCCTTGGGGCCGTCGTTCGAACTCCATCTTAAAAATAGACTCGGATTTGCAGTAAATGAAAGCTTATGCTGTTCAAGAGTACTCAATATATACAACAACATTAATTTTACCCCAAAACGAGATTTCACAATAGCCACCAATATCGAGGATCCCATCTATCATGGTCCAGCGCCAGATTAAACCTTCTCCGCCGCCTCCGGTTTCTCACTGTCACTGTCAAGGCCTACATAGAAAGTTAACAAGGCCAAACCCATGATGCCGACGTCAGGTTAGATGGGAAGAAATGATACGAGAAAAAAAACAACTCCATAGATGTTCCCGAAAGTTGCGACTGGCACGGTGGTTTGCCGCGAAAGGGTCACGATACGGTCTCTCTAACGCTCCTGCACTGTGGCCTCCTCAATGATTGGCCTGTTCAGCCCTTGATGTTGCTCTTCTCCGGGCGTTGGGAGAGCTTTTCCTCGCCCAAGAGAACGAGCACCCTTTCTGGAACTGTACTAATGAGGTATCCAAAGGTGTGCACACCAAAACAATCAGGAGGTCACGTCACCACAATGCCATCGGAAGTATATTCGTTCTCTTGCTCATCTCGTAGGCTAACATTTGCATGAATTCAAATTCGGAGTCCCGGTTCCTCTGGATTCTCGTACGCAAGTCTATCGGTGCCTGGTCTGTTTCTGGCAATTCCTGGAGGTTAGTCTCGCTACGGGGTCGCGTATACCACATGAATATGATGCAAAACAGTAATAGCCACCACTTGGCCCCAACCCTCAGAGCGGATGTGCTCTGCAGATTCTGCCGTTCCTTACCACTTCCCTGTCTAGATGGTTGCTCAATTACTGGAGCGATTTCTTGTTTGACATCAAGGTACGGATCCCGAATCGGAACTAGCTCGCCCTCCCCATTCATATAGAAGCGGGACGATTTGTAGCGCATTGAAGAAATTGACGGTTCTTCAGCTCCTGCTGCATTATGCATAGCCTGGTAGCCTGCAGCCTGAAGCGACGGAGAGATTCTGATGCGCTGCCGGTCTATTATTGGCCGGGGCCTTGGTATTGATTGTCGTTGTAGAGCTGGCGCTCTGGCCTTCACTGGGAAATATATCACCCCCGCATGCCATGGTCGAAATGATCTCGAAATACCTGAAATGCTCATTTCTTCCTGCCTCTTTTTGCCTTCCTTATTCTCGCTCTTCCAGATTGCTCTTGATATGCGGAGTGGCTGTGGGATTAGACTGGGGGGACTAAAATTGACGTAGAGATGTTCGTAGAAAAACTATCAACGTCGAGCATGTTAGCCGTTAATTGTGTGGGAAGGAAAGGATCCGAAGCCCTCATTGTGTCAGGGGCCGCCATTGTCGTCCATTGTCCAGGTGATACATCACCCTGTTCAGGTTATGGTACTGGTAGCCTCCGTCTTAGTTGAATGAAATCATTATATTTCTATGAACCACATCACACTAGTCTTGTGTTGGCAGGGCATAAAGCATGGCACAGTCAAAGGTTTCCTGCGATGCTTGAGTAAGCTCTACATCTAGAATAAAGGTATGCGGATCTTTGGGCTGGCCGGCTGGATTCTGTGGGTCATTGAACATGAAAGTATCCTGCGTTTCAGTGCCATATAAATGAAACCAGTCGTTTTGGCCTGCATCACTCTCACTCAGTCCTACCCATCTTGTGACGCAGCTTGCCATCCACTCACCTACAGCCGTTGCCTACAGCGGCTGGGTGCCGCTGGCAAACATCTGCCCCTCTCCTAGACTGGGATGACCTCCTGGCGGTATAGGAATAGATGAGTGGCGTATTGTTTCGGGTGGCTCATATTCACTTTCACTGTCCTCTTGCATCTGCGCATTTGCTCCGTTGGCTCCGCGACTAGTCTGGGCCTCAAACATTATGCTTGGGTTTCTCCTCAGGACAGGATCTAGGCCACAGTCAGACCATTCCCCATCGATCAAAGCATCTAAATCCCGTTCCAAATTAGCCAAATAGGAGGCAGCACGCCACATAGCGTCGCCCCCATCATCAACCTCTGAGACAATATCCATCTTATCAGCCAAGAACTGCCGATAGCTCCTGCAGAGACTCTCCATCTCATCAGCGGCATGACTGATTCAAAAGAGTATCTCCCCCAGAATCTCACCTTCCTCGACGAGGCTATACTTCCACGCACAAAGGTCCGCAGCCCAGCACGCATTATCGAGCTGCCCCATGCGCCGCCAATACTTGTCGATCATAGCTTACCCGTCCTCCGACATGCCATTCAAATGATCGATCGTATACCCCGGAAAGCGAAGCTGAGGCTCCAACGCCTTCGTCTTCACACAAGCGTCAGTCAGCAACTCGCTATATCTCATTGTCTGCTCTTGAGCTTTCGTGTAGGCCTTCTCGGCTGATCGAAAATAGTGCTTCTGGGTTTCGAAAATCTACAGCGCAGCGCACGACGCATATTGCGCGAGCTGGTACGATTGGTGTGCGGCTTCGAGGTCCTGTCTGTATTTTTCGTTCTCACACAGCAGTACGCGGACTGTCTGTATGAGCTCTTGGTTTTTGGTTTGGAGACTATATTCATCTCTTAGAAATTGTTGTATGTCCCTCATAATAGCTTCCATGCTCACAGTTGAACAAGCTGGTGAGAGATATTGGTCTTTCTGCGTCGCATCGGGATCTCGAGTTGAAAGACCCTTCAGAATCTTGGTGGCGGAAATTTATTGTCGAGGAAGAGCGAATACGGTGAGATGAATATGCAATATGTATAAACTACTAGTTAACATTTTATAGATCCCTCCTTTATGTTTTCTGTATTGACTCGGCGATCACAATGTTGCACAACTCACCTCCACGGATGGTGGTGTCCGAATTGAAAATGGATATAGCCTGCCCAGAAGAATGCTTCCAAGCGGGATCAGCCACAGAATGCTTCACAACCTTGAGTGCATGGAAGGACAGCATATTTTGGCGCGAAAGACTGTCAATGTCGGCCGTGGTAAGGAGAATTTGTCAGAGGAGCTTGGACGATCATCTTGTACATGAATTTTCCCGAATGGGAACTCTGAATATGTGTACAGTTGTACTATGTAAGTGCCAGCATATGTACATTCGAACCGCTGCTGATCTATTCTATGGCATAGCACTCCACTCGCTCATATTTAGTCTTCAGAACTCGCTTATTTTCGAGTCTACCTTTACGCCCGTCCGGACTGGATTGGCGAACTGGGGACGTATCTGGAACAAGAGAATTCCTGAAGACAGATACACACCGGATAATCCGCACACTATCTGGAAGAAAATAGGCTTTGTACGTTATGCCGCCGAATTCTGGCATTTGGCACGAATCATTGTGGCTAGAGTACAATCGGGAAGTCTTCCCAGAAGCCAGAGGGAATCATCTCGATACGACCATACAGATATGGTGGATGTCAATGGATTGATAATGGAATATCGACAAATGAGTCTAAGTGCACCTCCTCTCACATAATATCCGTTAGGAAAGAATACCAGCTAGGCTTGTTTGACGCTGGATGTCCGCCTGCGGACCTTCACAACGAAATCAGTTGGCTTAACAAACCAGTAGTTCTCAGTGGACCACTTCTGGTTTGTGGTAACAAAGTCGAAGTCCCGAATAAGACGGGGAATCAATTTCGACATTTCGAGAATGGAGATGTGCTTTCCAAGACATGTTCTCGATCCGAGACCAAACTATCCGAAGTTAACGCTATTGTTGAGGAAGACGAAGCAGGGATCTTACCGGCATGTACATCTCGTTCATAATTTTCAGTCTTTCCGGATCAGACTCCGCCTCTATCCAGCGCTCTGGACGAAATTTCTTTGCATCTGGGTATATTTCTTCATCATAATGTGCCACCCACGTGTTTATTCCTACCGTAGTGCCTCCCGGAAAGTAATATCCACTAATCTCCGCACCACCCGCGGGAACGACCCTCCACAGCGGGAGACCAGTGGCACTGTGCATACGAAGAGCCTCCTTCATAACAGCCTGGAAGTAAGGCATTTCCTGACTTTCTTTAAACGTCACACGAGCACTGCAGCGGCCTTGCGCGGTAAAGTCATCCACTTCGCGACGAAGTTTCTCCAGAACCGCAGGATAGTGCAGCAGGTGGTACATTATTGATGAAAGACTGATAGCGGTGGTATCTGATCCGGCAATCACGTTTGACAAGCCCATCATGAATAAGTGATAATCAGTGACCTTCTCTGGATCCTTGTCTCGAGCGAGGATCATCTTCTCGAGGAAGTCCTGCGTCTGCAGCGTCCCTTGCTCTGGATCACGCTTGGCAGGCTCACTGTGTCGGCGAATTTTATCCTGCACATATCCCATGATGTACGTTCTTCCGCCTGCGCCAGACCAGCTAAAATGGCTCAGAAGGTCAAATAACCGCGGATGCCATTCCGGGTAGATACCGATCAGAGTACTGTACACCATGGTCTTCTGCAGCGCAGCGATGGTACCTTCAATGTCATCGCCCTGGTCCAAGAACCCTATTTTCATCAATACATAGCCATCTCAGACCCATAACCGCATATATGTACTCACCGAACCGCTTTCCAAATGTAATCTCCCCAATCACGTCAAAAGCATAGCACTGGAACCAGTGCCCAAGATTGAGACTTCCTTCCTTCTGCGCGTACTCCGTCAACCGCTGGGAAAAGATATCGGCACAATGGTCCACAAATTCCTCATAGTGCACCAACGAGCTCATCGAATACAATCCTGAGAATCTCTTCCTCGTTTCGGCTACATCGGCCCTTAGCTCTATATTCTCGCACAAACTACAGAGCGAAAACGAGAACCAGAAAGACAGAAAAAAGAAAACATACCATGTCTCCGAACATCCCGATCGGGAAATAACGTCCACCGCTCAGGACTCGGGTGCTTCCACCCCTCGTACCATGCCGACTTGGTAAACTTGGTCCCCGTCCCGTAGACCAGCTTCACCGCGGCCCGGTCACTGATACTGTAATGGTCCGGGGCGATACGCACAACCGGACCATATCGCTCATGAAGACGGACATTATCCTCTTCAAAGTGGCCCCGTCGGACACGATCAAAATACCATAATTTCGTGAGACGAGTGATGAGCGGCCCAGGAACGGCCAGGAGGGATTTTGTTGTCAGAGTAGTGTAGATGAGGTGAAGAACATGGTAGGATACGACGAGAACGGGGAGGAGGAGTAGGATATACATCTTGAAATATAAATCCTCTTGCTTTCTTTAGGGGATTTGGCTGTGCAGATGATACTTCAGGAAGAGAAGGAAATTGGGCTTCCGCATGCGTTATATAGATCGGCCGGATGCAAGTGAGTGCTTGTTTGCTGGATCCGGGGATTGGTTTAATCATTCTTCTCCGCCCCCACCCCCACCGCCACTGCGGAGCTTATGGGATGGGCAGCTTGATTGGATTCTGGGTTTGTGAGGTTGTATGGCTTACTGAAATCTAGTATCTGATGGGTAATACTATCTACAGCTTTCTTGGGACAACGAAGCACTAGATCAATTGGTTGACAGCCTTCTTAATTTCGAAGAACTCCGAGGAGTGGTGTATTTTGTTGAGAATTCTACTTTTGTTTCAAAAGAATGATATACGGACTATATTGGATCCCAGCAATGTCATTGCGCTGACAAAATACATAACATATATTATAGAGTTATCGCCCTGAGCCAAACGAAAAGAAAATACAGAGAGGAGATACACCGCTACCCAGGTATACAAAGCCCCCATCAAATCCAAGAATTAAAAAAATAAATAAAAACCCCCACGTGGCCATGCAAACAAACCAAAACCTCCCAATCTATTTTCTATCCCCCCAAAGCCCAACAATACCCATTGCAAGCGCAAGACCCGAGAAGACGGCGCGCACACGCTGGAATCTCCGCTCCGTATCCATCTCGCGCTGAACACTCTCGCCATTAACATTCTCTTCCGCCTCCACGACGACGAGATCCTCCTCCTTCTTCTGGACGTTTTTGCGACCGAACGACGCGCAGCCGACATCCTGGACGAAACTCTGGATCCACGCCTTGAAGCCCATCGACCGGTGGAAGAAGTAGTCCGCGACGTAGGTGCCCGTGATCGAGGTGGCGACCATCCAGATCAGGTACGGGTGTTTGCGGTGTTTCGGGGAGGCGCAGTATGCGAAGAGAAGACAGCCATTGGCGACGTTGGTGAGACGCAGCCCGTGCTTGCGATTTAGGCGCTTTACTTCGCGAAGAGAGCGGGAGGCGTTGGCGGAGGTCGGGAGGAGAGATAGAGATGGGATGGTTACGGTTGAGGCAGAGTAGGAGAGGCCCTGATTTTTGATTAGTTTTTCTGTTCTTTTAGGGTTTGTTTTCTTGAGTTGGGGGGTTGGGAGTGTGGTGGTTGGTGTATGTTGTTTTGAGAGGGTTAACTTTTTTATTCATGTCGATAGAAGGGACGCCTTACTGTTAGAAGACCGAGGGAGACGGTGCCCACGAATTTGCTGACGGTGAGTGGACAGGCCATGATTGGGAGTGATAGAGCTATTGAGAAGGAGAATGCTCTATGGGTGTAGTAGTAGAGGCCAAAATAATCAGAGATCCCTTGCGATAGTTGAGAGTGGCTCATTCACGGTGGGTTTGGAGATGAGAAGGAAAAGAAAAGAATAAATGAAGATTAAATTGTTTGATTCATGTGGAGTTTTGTCAAACATGACGTCGTGACAGTGGCCCAATACCAGGCGGCCAATCAGAGTGTCCGGATTAGCCCGTCCGGTGCATTGGCCGAAGCTGTACATTCATGTATACATCTGTGATTTTATTAAATTCATATTTATATAGGTAATCATCTTAATTGCAGACCTTTGAAAATCATTGAGAGGAGGTTAGTTTACGAATTGATTCTTCAGATTGACACAAACTTGTCATACCGGAATAGACTCTTAGCAATATCACCAAGACTACAGATGCACGTGATATATGCAGCCACATCTCGAGCATCGCATATCTTCATAAACATAAGAGGATTCTTAGTATATAAACTTACTTATACTCATTCTGGGATTAAGCAAAGTAGTCTCTTGCCAAGAGTCTTTATACGCATCTTGCTCTGCACTAGACAGTGTTCATTAGACATTTAAATGATTTGATGTTACCACTCCCGAGGCTCCAACCGAACCGCGGCATTTCCCCCCCCCCAATGATCCATCCATCCCTTTCTTCGGTGGAGCATCTCCGCAAAAGCCAATTAAGAACCGACTCGGCGCCAGACTTCAACCTTCTATCTCTGTTGTACATACCATACCTCCATACCTCCATACCTCCATACCTCCATACCTCCATACCTCCATACCTCCATACCTCCATACCTCCATACCTCCATACCTCCATACCTCCATACCTCCATACCTTCATACAACGGTGACATACATTCATAGACAAAATGCCACTCGCCAAGTCAGAATACCTGAGTGATACGTGGAAGGATGGCCTCTTCAGTATGTATTTCCTTGTCATATAGTGGGCGCCACGTGAATATCGCTGAACGCGGATAGCAAATAAGGTCGTCTTCTGCACCGGAGGCGCAGGAACCATCTGCAGTGCTCAGGTCCGCGCCCTCGTCCATCTGGGTGCAAACGCCTGCATCATTGGCAGGAACGTGGAAAAAACCGAGAAAGCAGCCCAGGACATCGCCACGGCTCGTCCAGGTGCCAAGGTCATTGGCATCGGTGCAGTTGATGTGCGCAAGTTCGATAGTCTGAAAGATGCAGTGGACCGCTGTGTCAAGGAGCTTGGTGGTATAGACTATGTTATGTAAGAGTGAAACCTCTCGTCTTTGTCTGATTACTTCAATTAACGTTGTTCAGCGCTGGTGCTGCTGGGAACTTCCTCGCTTCGATCAACCAGCTCTCGGTCAACGCTTTTAAGTCGGTGATGGACATTGATGTCCTGGGTTCTTATAACACCCTGAAAGCAACCATTCCGTACCTGGTTGAGTCTGCCAATAAGCACAAGGTCGACTCCAAGTCCCGTGAGTAGTATTCAATGAGCTATCTATGCTATCGCGAGAGATATGCTGAGTTGCTATTTAGTGAAGCCGTCTCCGCTAGGCACCGGTGGACGCATCATTTTCGTTAGCGCTACCATCCATTACAGGACCATGCCCTTCCAGACGCATGTGTCAGTAGCTAAAGCTGGCGTCGATGCCCTGTCGCACAGTGTTGCCATTGAATTTGGCCCTCTAGGCGTGACGTCCAATATTATTGCCCCGGGCCCAATTGCATCGACAGAGGTACGCTCAAAAATCCTTTTTTTCTTTTTTTTTTTTTTTTTTTTACATCAACAATCACATTCATACTGACTGGATCAGGGTGTGGATCGCTTGGTTCCTGCCGATGCTATGGAAGGATACATAAAGACGCAGCCCCTCGGACGCTTTGGTTCTATCCGGGACATTGCTGATGCCACAGTGTACCTCTTTGCTGATACCGGGAGCTATGTCTCTGGTCAGACACTAGTTGGTATGTACCCACGTGTCACTGAGAAGAAGAAGCCGACTTACTGACTTTTGCAGTTGACGGTGCAAGCTGGCGTATGTCTGCTGGTGGTGCAGCATCGGGAAGCCTGCCATATCCCGACTTCCTTCTTTCGGGAGACGCCGTTCCTAATGTGAAGGGACAGAAATCGAAGCTTTGAATTGATTTTTGCATTCTGTGAATATGCTTTATATATAACGATAGTTTAGATCTTCAATCTGATATACAGTTGTGCATTTTATCTCTCGCCCTCGACCCACAATATTGTTGCACCTGTAGTCAGTCTAATCCCGTTCCAAAGGTAGTTGCCATAGGCCTCAGCCCAGTATGGTCCTGAGTACTGTAGCTCTGGGACACTCGTATTCACTCAACCTTCAAAGCTACCAGCATAACAATAGACATAAAAGCCCCAAATTACCTTTGGGTGAGACGTGTATGTTCTCTTCTATTCTCACGATCACCCCTGATGCTCAGATTTGATGCGTAGCGATAGTAGCATAATATCGTACTTCAACTGCGACTCTCCTTTTCTATAACTATCACCGCTACCTAGTTTCACAGTTGCTGATTTCAGGCTTCCGACTTCCCTAACACCTCTCATTATCTACGTCTTGATGTACTCCCTTTCTATCTATTAGCATTTATACCTCCATTCATCATGTCCTTTCACGGAGGGTTCTCACAATGTACCTGGCAACAAGCTGTAAATTACACACTAACAGCGTATCACCACCACCCGCGGTACAGCGAAAGTACCGACATGAGAAGACTTACCGTGACCATCATTGTATGCCGGTATCTGCGACTTCTCGTCTGTGCCTTGATGGAGCCCTCTCTTTTTTGTAATGAACATATTAAGTATGTCATCTGCAGGCACTCTACACGCCTCTTCTTCCATTCTGTTTGTCCTTCGAGGACAGGTGGTGTGGTTGCCATGGCAGACTTTTCCTGGAATATCTCGTTGCTGAATACCAATTCTTCCACAGTGTCGAGCCACATCCTTGCACGCAACTCATCTCCATCATGGGGTGAAAGACAAGCCCCGATAATTACCATAACACATAATAGGGTCAGTGGTGCTGTCTGTGGATTAAAAGATGGTCGGTGCACAATCGGACAGTTTGGGTACCAGAGGGACCAGAAATATCCCAAGAAGCGGCGCATGTTGTTGGGTGCAAACAAGGTACTGCATGATTCTTGCACTGAGGGGCTCCAGTCCAGCTCGATGATACTTTGGTCCGCTTTCCGAGCAATGAGAGCTCGGAGATCATGAATGATCTCTTGACTTCTAAGAAAAAGAAGATCTGAGTCGTCAGGGGTCATATGTACCACAGACGGGTCGATCGTAGTCTCAAAGGCGTCTCCCCATGAATTGGGAAAGACGTGTATCCTAGCTGAATGACAAGTCTCACGCAGGCCCGTCGCGTCACAGTCGTATCCGTACACTTCAATATGTCGTTCATGCTCTAGTAACATCATCTGCCATTGTTTGAGCGTATCCTGGTCCAAGAAAGTCGCCATCCCATTGGCGCTTGTAAAGTATGCTAGGAATTCTAATCTCCCCGCCAGGGCTGTGCTATCTGGTGTTAGATCTTGGGAGTACAACAGATCGAGGGCTTCGAAATCCGACGAAGTAGGAATATTGGCTAGGCAAGCGTCGTCGCCAGCTACGTCTAGGTCTGTGTTTTGGAAAAGAGCTTCGTTGGCACTGTGACCATTCCCCCTATTATACATGGGGGGCAGCGTGTCATGATCATTGATGACACTGGGCTGTGCTTTGCATGTTTTCTCATGACGTTTCATTGCATCTCTGCGACATTAGAGTCACGCGATCAGAAACGGTGTCCATCAAACGTACTTTCGCGTAAAGGTTCTCTGACATAGCGCGCATGCGTATGGCCGCTCATTGTCATCTGCGGCTGTTAGCCAACTTCATGGCCATGGGTGGGCTGCATACGTGATCTGAGATGCCGCCTGAGATGCTCCATCCGAGTAAAGTGAGCAGAACAGACGCTGCACAACCATTGACGGTGGGACATTGTGCGTAGAAATAGTTTATCATGCAAGTTGCTTTTCTAAAGGGTATGTTTACCCTAAGAGGATAGAGTTGTATCGGAGTACGACGGTTCTGAATCAGAGCGCTTGGCAACGATGCGGGAGATCGACCGGAGTCGTCGTAAGATGCGGGGAAACAGCACTCGGTTAATCACTGCCGATGTGGAGCCGAGTGGTTGGTCGCATCGGTAAGCATGTACATACTATCATAATATCGTAATTCCCTGTTTATCCAGTGAGAAGTGCTGTAGTGCTCGGATAAACATAACATATTGTAGTATAATGGCTGGTCCAAGCCCGATTAACAACGTGTGGTACGGGGTATTGATTCCGTAAAGCGGTGGCAGAATGAAACACAGTCGTTATCAGTATAAGTGCCGGTGTTTATATCCAATGTGCTTTTGCCATGCTCCAAGCGGTATTTGGGCCAACCGAGGCGTTCAACAGCATTACCATGATGCCGCTCGGTAGGTTTATTTCAATCTTTTCCCTTGCTCTGACTATGCCCAGCTTAACTAGTATATGATATAGACCAAGTCAGTGGAATGGTGACACTTGCATGACCAACGCACGCGTGCTTACTGACAATCTGTCTAGGTTCATTGATATCTGTAACCGTGCTGCAATATGCCTTGTGTGGTATTTGCATGTCAACGAGTGTGCTCTTTCTTCCTTCTCACGGTCTTGATGCCTTTTCTGAATGTGTGCCAATTTCACTGCAGCAGCTAGCGGCGGATAGATTATTCGACCGCGTATGAACAGGGCCTAGAGATTGAAAGGTCTCTCCACTTACTCTAAAGCAAATGCATTGCTTCCCATTAATTGGGCAACTGGGACTTATATGAATGGGGCTGTATTAAGGCAATATGGGTCAGACTAACCAGATACAGGTCGGCCTGCGAGACGGGCTGTTTCACTGACTCTCAATTCGAAACTCGTATATCTAGAGTAAACAGAACACCTTCGAGGTAGTTATCTCTAAGATAGAAAAAAATACAGCCAAATTCAAGTACCAGTCGAATAGGTACACTCGCTGGATATGCTAGTAATCTGCTGAAGAGGCTTCTGCTTTCTATCATACTTGTTGATGATCACTTCGATTTCTTAACATAAGACACCTCCGTCATAGCATCTACAATCACATTTAGAAAGCTATTTGAGAAGGGCATGTTTATTGTGTTGGGATCATGATTATGTACACAATTAGAACTTCAGGACAGCTTTGCCTTTGTTCCTGCCATAGAAAATGCCCACCAAACCCTCAGCTGCGTTTTCGATACCAACAGTCTCATGGGTCAGAGCCTTGAAAGTCCCTTCGCTAATCCACTTTTGTACCTTCTTCTGGTGCTCCTCCATGTAGGCATCGGCAAAGCCTGGGTTTGCGACAATAAATCCACGCATCTCAAGACTCTTGGTAACAACCTTGTGTAGGTTCTTAATCGGATGCGGAGCACTATTGTACTCGGAAATCATTCCACAAGCGACGATGCGGCCGAACTGATTCAAGGCATCAATGGCAGCCTCGAGATGTTCGCCTCCAACATTTTCATAGTAGATATCCAACCCCTGGGGGGCAAGCCGAGCAAGGGCACTCGCAGGCGTCTCTTTCTTATAGTTGAAGCCACCATCGAATCCAAGCTCATTCAAAATAAAATCCAGTTTCTCATCCGAGCCCACACTACCAATGACTTTCAAGCCTTCGTGCTTCGCGAGCTGGCCAACAACCTGACCAACGGCGCCACTGGCAGCGGAAATAAAGATTGTTTCACCCTGCTTGGGTTTACCAATCTTATAAAAGGACGAAAATGCTGTGAGACCAGGCATACCAAGGGCACCCAGGAAAACGCTCAAGTCAATCCCCAGGGGATTTTGCAGGAGGCGGACTTTGGCAATGGAACCCTCATCTAGTGAGACAACCTCTTGGATCGGGATTTGGCCGATGACGATGTCTCCCTCTTTGTAAGAAGCGTTATTAGAGCGAATAACCTTGGCAATACCAAAGCTGTCAATGGGCTTATCCAACTCAAATGCCGGGATATACGATGTCGCGTCCGCGGGTCTCATGCGACCCCGCATGTAGGGGTCGAAACTAGCATATAAGGATTGTACAACAATACCGTTCTCAACTGGGGCGGTATTTTTGTCGTATAACGCTGGTTGAATGGTCAGATCTTCCCCAGGGACAGGGTATCCCTTTGGGATCTGTTTGAAGATCAAGGCCTTGTTGGAGCTCATCATGTGGTAATATTTAAAAGACGGGAGGATATATTAAATGGACTTTGATCGAAGAAGTGATGAACGAAAAAGATCAAGTCGTGGAATTCTCTGTCTTCTTATAAAATAACGATAGGGCAACGGCCAGCCCTGGGCTGCAAGGCTGCCATAGACATTTCAAGTCCACCCATCGAGAAGATGTTCGAAGTATAGTGAATGGAGGAGGCACAAATTAGTCAGAGCACCGAGAAGTTCACCAACGTTCCCATATTGTGTGGACCCTGACGATCAGGATAAGTAAAGGAAAGCGTGGTTGTAGTGGGTCCTGGCGGAGGATTTGATCTGCCCGTCCCCGACGGCAGGAACCGTTTCATATCTTCCATCTCATTCTAGAGGGAGTCCGGGCGATATTCTGCGCATGAATAGGCTATCAAGAGCCTAAATATGTTTTTTTTTTTTTTTTACCGTTTATTCATCAACTTGGTTCGTTGACTAGTTAAACAGAACCGAGAACGCGAGTGGAGTTGAAAACTCTATTTAAAGCTTCCAGTGTCAAGGCTTAAGATATGTAACCCAGCTCCGAGCTCTGTCGTCATTTTGCTCTTTCTTTAAAATACGTGCCTGCATCTCAAAAGCAGTTCTAGCTCGTCTTCTCTTTCTTCAATTACTCCCTTGTTAAATTGTTGCCGAAATGCTATCGATCAACATCCCTTCCTACTCCGACCCGTCCGGGTACATACTTTCCGAGCTACCAGAACCGGAAATCACCGACTCAAAAGACGTGATCATCAAGGTCCATGCGGCTAGTGTGAACCCAGTTGATCTGAAAAAGGCAGAAGGTGTTCTAAAAGCAGCACTCAAAGACACGTAAGTACACCCTTCAGAAGAAAGCCGTCGTGACTAACATAAACCAGGTTCCCCTACAAGATTGGATACGATTGTGCCGGCATAGTGACCAAAACTGGGCAAAGTGTAACGCGGTTTAAACCCGGCGATGAAGTATACGTTCGATTACCAGAGTCGCATCGGGGAGCGTGGAGTGAATATGCTAAATGCCCGGAAGAATTCATTGCTCTGAAGCCACCATCTCTGTCATTCGAGAGCGCAGCCGCCATTCCACTGGCAGCAACAACGGCCTTCCAGGCTCTACAGAAGTATAATGGTGACCTTGCAGGGAAGACTGTATTTGTGCCTGCAGGACGTACGATCCCCTTCTTTTTTTGCCTCTAACCGGCACGCATATCTAACAACATTGCAGTAGGTGGGACGGGTCTATATGCATGTCAATTAGCAAAGCATGTTTTCCATGCCGGCAAGGTGATCACGACGGTGTCAACGTCTAAAATCCCTAAAGTAGACGAACTGTTAGGAAAGGGAACTGTTGACGAGAGTAAGACCCCATCCCACCAGCCAGCCTCCACCCACTATATCCCTGTCATAAATCAACTGCTGACAGCACTGAAGTCATCGATTACACGAAGTCTGAACCAAAGGATGCTATTCCACACGGCTCAGTTGACTTTCTATTCGATACTGTCGGCCTTGCCATGGAGTATCTATGTCTGATGCGGCCGAAAACCAGCCGGATTATCTCGATTTCTACCTTGCCATCGGGAAATCTACTACAGAACTCGTCGGTCATGAGACTTCCTCATCGCCCGACTCTACCCTTCATCTACAAACAAGCTTTAAATCTGCTTGATGCCGCCCGTAAGCTACGTGCACGACGGTACGGCGTGGAGTACTCATATATGTTCCTGGAGCCTAGTGGGAAGGACCTGGATCTCTTACGCGAATATGTCGAGAAGGACCAGTTGAAGCCAGTGGTTGGCACTACGGCTAATATGTGGGACATTGAGGACGTGCGAAAAGCCTGTCAGGTTGTGTACAGCAATCGCGGTGGTCTGGGGAAGGTGGTTATCAAAGTTGTCAAGCCAGAAAGTCCGCAATAGCCTCACCCCACCTCGTAGTGGTTATTCTCAGGCATGACTCTTAGATGCCTTTTCTGGTCTCTCGTTTGGGGTTATTCATGTTCATTATATACTATATTAATATGTTAAAGGACGTACCACCTAATCTATATGTTTTGGATCTTGCTGTCATCCTTGCCATCATCGGTAGAGAAGTCCTTGAAGAAACAGTATTCAACCATCTTTTGGAGGTTAGCAAAATAATCCTGGTCCTCCGGCACCATTTCCTCGTTGCACGAGCTTTTGTATCAAATTCGCATAACCCATTATCAGTTCGCACAGATGAACACTACATGGATAGCAGTCATGGCATGCTACTTACTCCATAAGCGATCGCCTAACAGCAGGTGGCAATTTAACTATGGACATCGTCCGGAGATGATAAATTTATGAATTCATCTTAGAGATCCAGGTTAAAAAAAATAGTATTATCTTCATCACTTTTCAGCAGATTCTCCACAAGGGAGTGTTCGCGTGCAACGAAGGGCCCAAGCCAGGGCAGTGGCCTCGCAAGGCACCCCCGATTGGGCTAGCCAAAGACCCAAGCCTGGGGAAGCTCAAGGCCGGCCCCGGGGATAGAATGATTTTAACCTAGGTTATCGGAGGATTTAACCACATTCCCCCGAGTTTACATCAGGAACATTTAACGTTTATAATATCCAACTCCCTAACCCCATTTCCATACCACTCCCTACTACTTACCTCGTTTCATACTTGACAATATAATATCCACCTACCATGGCAAACCCAGCACACCTAAAAGCGGCAGCATACGGCTCTCTAATCCTCGCTTTCGGGCACGCAGTCAGTTTCTATCAATCCCAGTCCACTATGCCCAAGATATAAAAAAAGACAATCTAACGGACCAAACAGCTCTCCAGCCGTAAATTCATGAGATTGCGGCGGTTCCAAGAACTACCCAGTATAGCATTTGTCTGCAGTACCGTGGGATGGTTTCAAGGGAGTGGTTACCTGGTGTTAACTGGTATTCTCTTCACTTTTATATATACAATGTATTGCCACTGTGCTCTAACTGCTTATTTGAATTTTTTAGCCTTGCTTAATCTCCAATGGTCATTGAATCCGCAAGCGCTGGATGAGCCGCTGAATCGGGCTATCGCTGCTTTACTTACTTTGATTGCTTGGGGTAGTTCGGTCTCGTATCTACGGGGAGGGGTGAAGTCAAGTGGTTTCATCACAGCGGCTGCAGGGGCGTTTCAGGCTTGGGCGGCTTTTCGTGGATAGAGGATTGAGATTGGATGGTACTAGTATATATTAGGGACGATATATACGGGTGTTCTTTCAATGCTGGTTCATGTGCTATATTGGTGGCATAAATGCAATCTAATCAGTGTCATCAAATAAAATAGCTTTTGGTATTCTGCTAGCAGGGTTCTTGAAGGGTCAATATGAATTATTGAATGTACTGTTAGGGTTATGTGGGTCCTAGGTGAAGTTGATACATAAGCGCTCGTATATCTGGCCATAGAGCTCTGGTTTATGAAGATACACGATTTTCCTTGCTGCCAGGGGGTCGCTCAAACCTCATTAGTGCTACTCTACAGGCCCTGGATTGATACGCTAAATTACCGTGGCTCCATAAGAGAAACTTTACCTGAACCGGACGTATTTTGCTGGATTCTTCATGACGTATGCTCCTAGCAGATCGGCGGAACTAACTGCCCGGCCCCGAGTCTATTGCCTTCAGGTATGTACATAGTTACTAGTAGATGATGGTCTAAGTATTGTGATTTTAAACGGCCCATGCGTATGATTTCACTAGGTTTTTTGGGCAATTTACCGCAGCGAGAGGCAACTAAGATGTCACCAAAATTGGATCGCGTGATGTAGAAAAAAAGACATGATTCCTGAAGTAGTTCGCTGAGCACTCGGACATGAATTCCGGGGGCTCCAGAAATCATAGGGAAATCGAGAACGTAAAAGGCACCACACTCTATTCGGTAAGCCAGGGACTTCCATTCTCATTGTGATACGGCTCGAGTCATACTTGGAAATGACCGAAGATATTTACCTCGTGACAGGTGCCAGTGGTTTCGTTGCCAGTCATGTTGTCCAACAATTACTTGAGAGCGGCTACCGTTTTCATGCGACGGTTCGCAGTATAAAGAACGAGAAAAAGGTCAAACACCCGCTCGACATGCAGGCCAAATAGCCCGGGAAATTGACTTTGTTTGAGGCGGATCTCCTAAAGGCACGGTCTTTCGACGTCGCAGCAAAGGGCTGTTCGGTGGTGTATCACATTGCCTCGCCCTTTTTTATCGAAAGTCGGATTCGTGACGGCCAGAAAGAGGTGGTTGAGCCGGCTCTCAAAGGAACACAACATGTTCTCGATGCGGTCCAGAAATGCGAAACGATCAAACTTGTCGTCGTCACATCATCTGTAGCGGCCATCTTTGGAGACAACACAGATGTGCAGAATATGAAGGATAATACACTCTCCAGCGAGTATTTCAACACCACCAGCACCGTTACACACAATGCGTATTCATATTCCAAGGTGATTGCGGAAAAAGAGGCGTGGAAATACTACGAGGCACAACCGAACCCACGGCGCTGGAGATTAGTGACAATCAACCCTGGGTTTGTTTTGGGCCCGTCGCTCTCTCCCACTTCAGAATCTGGCAGTCTGTCTTTACTTGACCAGCTGCTCCGCGGTGAATTGTTTTTGGGGGTTCCAGACTTGTGGTTTGCCACTGTCGACGTCCGAGAGGTTGCCACAGCTCACCTTCGAGTAGCCCAGAACCCGGATTCACACGGTCGTTATATCTTGGCCGACAAAGAGATGCATAACTTTGTGGAGTTTGCTCGCATCCTACGCTCACTTGCTCACTCCAGCCGAATTCCGGAACATAAGCTTCCAAATTCGCTGGTACGTTTATGCGGACCGTTACTCGGCTTACGCCAAAAATGGCTTAAATTGAATCTGGGCGTCAAATTCAATATCAACAATCATGCCAGTGTGGAGGAGTTAAAGATTTTTTATCGACCTTTGAAGGAGACATTAGCAGACCATTTCCACTCCTGGAGTGTGCAGAGAAAGTCGCAATAGGAGTGCTAGGTCAGTAACGATGTTGCATTCGGAATGATTTGTCCCATTTAACACCTTTCGCTTTTTGTCTGTTTTAGAGATTGGATATGAAAGCTACCTTCCCTACCTTTAGAAGCTCTTTTCACCCGTGGTGGTCATTAACTGTTTATGCCTAAGGCGACCTCCAGGGACTAATTCAACTGATAATTACTCCTATGGCGATTGCAATAGGTAATCGCCTCAGGACGGGCAGGAGAATTGTATATAAATATAATTACAAGATATGTGTATGACAAAAATTAAAATCCAGAAAGTTCAATCCGCCAGGGCCCCATGTTCTGCGCCTCAGACCAGCAGCATACCCCCAACCACCATGGCAAACAGACCCCATTGCTTCATAGTACCTCGAGCATGGCCACCACTATTAGTCTCTCCATCACCGTTGCTGTTATTACTACTATTACTACCACCATCGCCTCTGGCATTTTCATCCACCCAAGGCTGTCCCGGCAACGTATCATTGCTCGCGGCAATCTCATCGGGTTTGAGCAAGTCGTTCTCCAACAACTTACAATCGACTCTATCGTCTGACTTGCTAATAGCATTGGTGATGTTGACAGGCAAGTCAGAAATCGTATAGTAGTCCTTTCCATCCCACTTGAAAGACTGATGGATTGAGATATTGTACGATCCTCGTGCGGAGCCAGAACCGCCGTCCCCTTCACCTGCTAAGCACCCAGGCCAGTTCCAGTTGACTTGTTGGACGTTGGTAGACGGGTTAATCTCGAGGACAGGACCGACATAGGCCTTGCCCTCGGGCTCCGTGCCATTGGAGATAGTGAAATTCTTCGAGAGCTCATTTGAGGTCAGGAAGAGCGTAATGTCATGGAATTGAGTGGCGTCGGACGGGCTGGAGGTCAACCGCCCGTTTCCAGAGACGTCAATGGCTACTTGGAGGTTGTCTATCATAGATGCATATCAGCACACGTGGCTGCAAAGGGCGTACATGTATACATACCTCCTCCGAGTGGGGTATAGGGCTGAGGGGCGTCGATAATCGCAAGCCCCGGGGTAAATACCTGCCCGTTGATGATGGTGAAGGCCATTGTATCTTTAATTTTCTTTGATAATTCATGTTAGCAGTTGTTCCTTCAATAAGCGGTCCCGTAACTCAGTCGGTTAGAGTGCTGAGCTAATAACTCAGAAGTCGAGAGTTCGAGCCTCTCCGGGACCAGCGATTTCCTTTTTGGGACGGTTGTTCGGATATCTCACCCGGGTCTGTTTTTTTACTTTCAACCCTTGCTTTTATTGCTCGCTAGCTTCTTTCTGCTCTCCGTCCTATTTGGAATTATTGTCTCGGCTTTCGTCAAGCTCCTATGACTAGGAGGAAAAACGCTGCCAGGTACCTACCTCGAGACCGTGGTTGTGTCCGAGTCTTTATATTAACGCCTGTGAGAGTTGCCAAGTTGTAATTTCCGAATATCCGATCCCTAATTTCTCCACCTCTCGAAATTATATGAATAGTTAAGCGATATGTTGAAAACACTGATTAGAGTAGCAGGGATCTACCAGAATAGGCCTAGCTGGTTACTTATGTATGAATCAAGGGATTTATCCGTGAGGATTCCTAGATGCTCAGCGTATTGGGGCTAATCTCCTAACTATCAATGAGATGTATATATATTGACGTTCTCTGTTGGATGAACCCCGCCACCTTCTAGTACTAATCAGTAGTATCACCTAAAGTTGACAGTCCACGAAAGAAGGGATATGCTAAAGTGTCACACTTAATTGTATCATAATATTGATGTTTCGTAGTTCCTGTTGACCCCCACAGAGCAATCAGATTATGCGACTAGACCATGATCCGGGGCTAAGAGAACACAGGTTGAATTTTCCCAGCAGCCCGATCTGCCAATCTCTCCGGTATCAAAGCCTTATACACATGCCGTGCCCATGCACAGCACACCTTTCTCGTGTCTTTAGGATCAATGATCTCCTCTACTCCGAACGCATTCGCTGTGCGCACCGGATTCATCAATCGTCGGTATTCTTCCTCCAGTTCCTGGTACAGCTCGGCCTTCCGGCCTTCCTTTTCAGCTTCGCGTAGCTCATGTCGATGGGCAACTTCGATGCCCCCTTCGAGTGGTAGAGATCCCCACTGCCCCGATGGCCAGGCTACTTGCATAACCGGGTCACGGGCGCCTAGCATGATGCCACCAGCCACGCCGTATGCTCGTCGAGTGATCACATTGAACATTGGCACTGTAGTCGAGTAGTAGGTCTTCGCTAGCTCAACACCCCAGCGCATTGTCGCAGTGCGTTCGGCAGCGGTACCGATGGCATAGCCGGCTACGATAATGTTATTGAACATGTCAGAAAGTAAAGTACTGTAGAAAAGATCATAGATGAAAGTACTTACGAACGTCAATGAATTGCAACACAGGCAGGTTCATCACATCGCAAAGCTTCAACAACCTCGTCAATTTCTGACTTCCAGCTGCATCTAGTGCCCCGCCGTTTACTTCGCAATTTAAGGAGATCACTCCAATAGGCCGCCCTCCTAGTCTTGCTAGACCACCGATAGCAGTACGACCCCAGAGTGCGCCAATCTCGAACCACGAGTCGTGATCAACCACGCTAGTGATGATGGTTCGTGGATTATACATTCTTGTCTGTCGGCGTGGAATAATCCGCCGTAGCGCCTCATCCTCACGGTCTTCGGGGTCATCGCTGGTGACCACAGGTGGCGCCTCTCGACCACAATTAGGCAGAAAACCTAGGACAGTGCGGATCTGCTCGTAGCATTCGGCTTCATTAGGAGCGAGGTTATCTATTGTCCCATTGGTGCAGTGTATCAGGGGCCCACCCAATGACTGGAAGTCCAGCCCCTCTTCAAAGGTTGCCCCTTTGACTACCTCTGGGCCTGCATTAAAGAGTGAGCCTACATCTGCAGCCATGACAGAGAAATGACAGGAGACGACTCGAGCGGCTCCAAGGCCAATCTGTTATTGGTGAGCTCCGTCCAGCCTAGGGAATGAACGGATAGACCGGAATACATACAGCTGGCCCAACTACTGCTCCTAGATTTGGAATGCCTTGATTCAACTGATCGACCACATATTTGTACATCGACACGTAGGGCAGGTAACTCCAACCTGCCGTGCGGATGGTTGTAACACTACCTCCACCTGAACTACCATCAACAAGCTTTACGACGGGCAACTTGAGTGCTAAAGCTAGTTTCTCGAAGTAGGTTGTTTTTCCTGCAGTGGCGCCATCTGCATGTCCACTTCTAAGGGAGAAGTCATCCGCAGTGAGTAGAACCCGGCGACCACGCAATTTTCCCATCCCCTGGATATTATTACCCGGCACGAACGAAACGGGCTTCTCCCGCATGGGTCCAGTCTTCTCCCATGTTACTGTACCGGATAACGAGCCAATCTCTTGAAAACTATCGCGGTCGAGGAGTTCTTCGAGGCGTTCTCGCACCCAGAGCTTTCCTGCTTGCTTCTGTCGAATGTAGCCACGTCGATTGATGTCGGGAGTAGCGGCGATTTTGCGGAGTGTACTGATTTGGGAGCGCACATCCGCATAGTCGGGAGGGAGCTTTTGCTGCGAGAGATGCGCCGAGACTTGGTCAAGTCTTCTGGTCGCTGCCGATGATTTGTCTTCTGACATTGTAAGTACTTTCAAGTTATTTGATTATCGCTGTATAGTGATTGGTAATATCTGTTGTATGCATTTCTCTCTCCAACCTATACCCTAACCCCTCATGAGGGGTCATGAATCATGAGCCCATTCTCTCCGAGGTCCGAGGGCTGAGCTCCACCCACCAGAAACAGTGATTAGCGCTGTACTTGGTCGTTGGTAGCCACATATTTTGTTACATGTAGCTCGAGTTGCAAAAATGTGTGCTCAGTCTATTCAGCGGCTCCTGGTCGCAAACAGGTATTTCCCAAAGGTCCATGCTGTATGCGAGGATTTTGTCTAATGAAGCAGAGGCGAAATCGCTGTTCGTATTCTTCAAGCTGCACGTGAACTTTCTCCATCAATTGAAACATTTGCTCTTTATACGGACGATGACCGTTCTCACTGTGATATTGGACGTCCTCACCACGCAGTGCGGGTGCCATCTGCTGCGGCCTACTTGGACATCCCATTGCTCGTTAACCTGAGCCGCGAATACAATATTGACTCTGTGCATCCCGGATATGGCTTCCTTAGCGAGAGTGCAGAATTTGCCAGTCGTATGCATGATATTGGTGTTACTGTCATTGGCCCTGGACCCGAGATCCTTGCCTGCACAGGAGACAAACTCATAGCCAAACAGCTGGCAATGCAATGTAAAGTTCCCGTCTTGCCGGCTATGTCAAGTCCCACCTCCAACTTAGTGGAGATACGCACGTTTGCGCAGCATATCGGGTACCCCATTATGATCAAGGCGGTTGATGGCGGAGGGGGCCGTGGTATCCGCTTGGTGCGCCAGGAAGACGAGCTGGATCATGCTGTGCGGGCAGCAACTAACGAATCACCATCGCAGACGGTGTTTGTAGAAAAGGCCGCTGTGGATGGATTTCACCACCTTGAGGTCCAAGTCGTGGGTGACGGTATTGACGTGTGTCACCTCTGGGAGCGTGACTGTAGCTTGCAGCGTCGTTTCCAGAAGGTCGTTGAATTTGCTCCGTCGCTTATGCAAAACAAGGATGTGGTGGAACAAGTAGTGGACGCCGCCATTCGCATGGCGAAGGCAATTCGATACCGTTCTCTTGGAACAGTCGAATTTCTAGTTCACGATCAACGAAAGGAGTTCTATTTTCTCGAGATCAATCCTCGCCTGCAGGTGGAGCATACCATTACTGAGAACATTACCAGTGTGGATTTGGTCCAGACACAGCTACAAATTGCTATGGGATTATCGCTCGCCCAAGTTGGCTTACTGAAAGACCGCCCAGTACAGGCCCAGGGCCACTCTATTCAACTGAGATTGTGCGCCGAAGACCCAGGTAGGAGTTTCCACTTGAGTATAGGCAAGATCACGGAGTTCGTCGTGCCGAGTGGTCACGGCGTTCGTATTGACACCCACGTTGATGCGTCCGGGTCCAGCCCGGTTACGGTTGGGGCAAATTTTGATAACATGTTGGCAAAAATTATCGTCACTGCGTCCAGCTGGGAGGCAACCGTGTCGAAAGCTCGCCGTGTGCTAACTGATGTCAAAATATCTGGGGTGCAGACCAATTTGAACCTCTTACGAGGAATCCTTTCCCATGATAACCTTTTGACAGGCCAGGTCGATACACAATGGCTGGAAAGACAT